ACAGAAAAAACCATACCACGGGCGGGATTTGAACCCGTGGTATGGTTTGTTTGCAATCGTGTCATTACGATTTCGTGAGTCATAAAGGACAGAAGACTGTGTCAGCTTTCGTTTCCCCTGACTCTTCAACCATCTACCAGCAGATATCATAACTTATCTATGATACATTTTATACCTTCGATGAGTTTCAAGTATTTTCCTGCTCCTGGAGCCCGGCCTTGGGCTAGGCTTGTCTGGTGCCTGCCTGGTCATCACAAATATTGCTGGAACAAAGATAAGTTTTCAAGAAAAAATAAACTTTCATTTGCAACAAGTGCCAGATCTGCCAGATTATGATGGTTTTATAGACCTGCGTGCCGCTGGCAGCAACAGCCTGACTGACCAGGCAGTCAACAATGAAGTCTAACCTCAACCTAAACATCGAGCAGAACTCTGGAACACGGTTGTTGTTATGTAAATCCCGGTGAATTAACAAATAACCGGCGCTTAGGTCCGTTTAGGTCCGTCCTGGACAGACTTGATAATGGTCCAGCGCTTACCGAAACGTTGTCTGAGGTTTCCTCTCGTGAATGAGTTATGAATAAATATGACTAGAGCTAAGTCTCTCTGTCAGAGCCAGAGGGGATATGATCACTCCATAAAAAATATTCCGAGGCAAAGTATCGCGATAGAGTAGACATATAATAGGCCTTTCACTTCAAGGAGGGAAAGAATGCCTTGATACCGATGGAAGACTTTTGATCTAAGAAATCTGAACTGCTCTCTCCTTCTTTGGTTCAAACATGATTGCCTCCCATTCCCTAGGCACTGCATGACACACACATTAAGTTTTTTTCTCCATGCCTTTGACTATAACATTAATAATGATCCGAATTTTTATAATAATAATAATAATAAAATAGAAAATAACAATAAAACAAAAATAAAATAAAAAATAATAATAATAATAATAAATAATAATAATAATAATAATAATAATAATAATAATAAATAATAATAATAATAATAAAGTACTTAGTGAATAGCTTAGTAGGGTTCGTCGCTGGAGTGATGGTAACAAGGAAACAACTGTTGGCTGGAGAGAGAGAGAGAGAGAGAGAGAGAGAGAGAGAGAGAGAGAGAGAGAGAGAGAGAGAGAGAGAGAGAGAGAGAGAGAGAGAGAGAGAGAGATGGATTAAAAAATTAACAAGGGTGAAAATAAATGCAACACAAAAGTGAAAATAATAAGCGTGAGAAAAGGACAATAACTTGCTATTAAAGTATGTAATCAACATCTCTGTACCCTCAAAGCCAATGTAACAATTCATACTTATGTTTGTAAAAGAAATCCGTCCGAAATAACTTATTTCACTATGTACACAAAAATTTACAGAAGTCTGCCTGGTAAGAGAAAATAAGTGGGAGCGAGAGAAGTAGTGACGGTAGTGGCGTAAGACCACAGTAAACAAACTATTAAGAAGAGTGGATTAAAGGAAGAATGGAGAAGGTACTGGGGGAGGAGGGGAGGAATTAGAAAAGATTGGAGGGGAGTAGGAGAATAGAGGGGAGCAAGAAGGTACGAGGAAGGGAGTGTTGGTATGTGTGTTGTGGGTTGTATCTAATGCCGAGAATTCCTAGTGGAGGTAGCCTGAGGCTAGGTTTTCCCTGCTGAGGTGGATCGACCAGTCTATACTTGTCCGCAGCCTACATGCTCGTCATAGACAGACACACGTACATCTATCCTTGAAAAATAAACCAGAATACCGTGGATGGAACCATTCACAACCAACAAATGAAAAAAAAAAAAAACGAAGTTACCGCCCTTCCTAGACCATCATCAAGTCGCAGATGAGAAAGTAAAGGGAGGAAAAGTAGTCCGTTTTTAATTTACAATTTGTGGGTTAGTTGTGAAACTTTATGGAGGAAGGGAGCCTTGATGATGGTGAAAGGCTTCTTTCTGGCTTAATGAAATGGATCTACCCTCTCCTTCTCTGTATCAAATTTGATGATCTCTCATTTCCCTGGCACTGTTATGGTCTTAGGGTCAGAAACTAATAGCGAAGATCGAGAGTTGGTTAAGTGGCAGGGTCAACCTACCCTAACCTAATCTGAATCTCGACCCCTTGCAAACCTAGCTTCGTGAGTAGACTTACAGTTTTATATTATATGATACCAGTAAATCTCTAGCACACACACACACACACACACACACACACACACACACACACACACACACACACACACACACACACACACACACACAAACTCCACATATAGTTTTAAGAGCAGGTATGATTGAGCTTACGAAGCTAGGAGGGGAGTGAAGAGGGCAAGCGGCAAATTGAGGCGGGGCCAGGAGCCAAGACTCGACCCCTGGAACCAAAGAAAAGGTGAATACACATACACACGGGGCCAGGAGCTGTGAATCAACATATAGGCGAGTACACACATAACGCACGCACGCGCGAATAAAAATAATCTTCCACTCTGAAAACAATCCCAGTCCTCTCTCTTGCATAAA